CTTGCGGCGGCCGCGTCACGTGACGATTTGCCAGGCTTTGTCAGTATAAAGGAGGCTATGGTAAGGCCTTAAAAATGTCTAGTTCGTGCGTGGCGCCCAAGAAGAGGCTATCTTCCTCTCTGCTTCGAATACTTGCCCAACAGCACCGTGCGCTGTTAGAAGCATGCCGGGTATACCTGTCCTAAATCTCCAGGCTTTGCGGCAAGAACAGAAAACCGCTGACAAAGTGCAATCGGTACACGGCGCCAGCACAAGGGAGTGTAGCACCATATTATGAAACCTGCCTTAAAACGTCAACCGTATACTTTTGCTGTACGATCCTTGCGATTTCTTAACATATTCAATCCAATTCTTTATTTCTGTTCCACGCAAACACTATGCTCCGTTTCACGATAACTTGGCGAACTGTGGAGGCTGCGGCTAACTTACGACGTCTCAGTCAGGTCTACTGCGGCAAAATCATCTACGACTACGTACGACGCTTCCTCTCTGACAGAATGGCGGCTCTTACGCTAGGGAATATCAAGTCGGGAGAATAGAAGCTCGGACCGAAGGGAACACATCAAGGTTCCGTCCTGTCTCCGTTGCTCATCATCTTGGTGATGCGGAGCCTGCCAAGGGCACTAAAAAAGGTGCGTCAGGTGGAGCACGCCATCTACGCGGTCGACATAACTCTGTGGTGTTGTTCCGGGAGCGACAGGCGGATCGAGGACAATCTTCGGAGGGCGGCTGACATCACGGCGCAGTACGCTCAGAGCTGCGACCTACGGTGTGCCCCAGGAAAATCCGAACTGCTAGTTCTGGTCAACCTGCGAAAGAAAGAAGTGGATAACATCAACGATATAATGGACAGAGAGGCGGTGACCAAACTCAAGGAGGTGAGGCTCTTATGACAGTACATCCCGCCGGGTTTGGGAAACAAGACGACGCTGGACAAACTCGAAACGATGGCTATGCAAGTACACTCTCAGAAAAAAAAAAAAAGGTGTAATCTTACACCCCTTGTTCCGTATAATACACCCCAACATTTCAGTTCGACGTACAGCGCACTGACTTCGATCTGATGGTACTAACTTTCACGAGGGGCTTGATAGCCGTGTGGTACGACTTATTAGAATAGATAGTGTACGTGTTACAGACTACAAAAAAAAAAAAAAATTGGGGTTTTTCTGGTTCGACTGCGAAACCTCAGTGTTTTCTTTCTCTGGTCTTTGATACATACTTTAGCTATGTAATAAGTTATATTGCACCGTTAAATTCGATCACAGTACACTGTAGGCCGAATTGAAGTTTTGGGGTGCATTATATGGGACAAAAGGGTGTAAGGTGATACCCTTTTTTTTAGGGGCGAAGCTCCTTAGGGTCTAGCCTTGTCCGTCCGTCCGTCCGGCCGGCCGGCGTCCGCGCTCACATAAATGGATTTCTAGTCCATCGCCTTAACCACTCGGCCACGACTGCGGGACGAGTAGGGGGCTCTGAGATGTGGTAGTAACTCAAGAGCTGGGGATGTCATGGATTAAACGTTGCATGTAGCCGCTCAACGTCTATACAGGAGAGGGCGCTGCGGTCAAATGCATATATAATTGCGTTAAACTTTGCATGCATTGGCTCAACGTTTATAGACGAGAGGGCGCTGCGGTCAAATGCTCAAATGCGTATATAACCACGTTCCATACCACACATTCTCTTTCTGACATGGACCGTTGACTTAAGCGGTGGAGATGCGTTTCCACGGCTTCTAGCGGATCCAAGCTGGTCCGCTAGAAGAACCACTGGCTCTGCATTTCACCGACCATAAAGCAGTAATAATGAAGTCGAAACGCAACCCGGAACTTAGCACTACCTATGAGCAATAAAAAAAAATCAGCACCATCAGCACTACCTATGAACTATAAAATCAGTATCATCAGCACCATCAGAGCTTCGTCCCAATCAACATCATTCACCACGTGGAGGTGCGGCCATTTTTTTTAGAGTATAGGCGGAATGATGAGAAGGATAAGAAACAAGATTGGGAAAGCTCAACAGAATACCGAGGAAGGCGTACAAGAACGCTTTGGGATTGCCGAAACGGACGGCCACGGACAAGCTACTCAGACTGGGAGTTTACAACAGCTACACGATGAGCAAATAATCTCGCCGTTGAAGACACTGGACACCACCGACAACGGAAGGTGGCTTCTAGATACGCTTAATTGGGATAGCGGTCCCCGGGGCACCCAAGAGACCGAGGGGGCAGAGAAGATGGAATACCAGGTACCAAGTTTACAATAGGACAAATCCTACGGAACATGCACCCGATGCAGGACGCTCGGTCTTGGGACACTAGGTAAGGGACTCTCTACGTGGACGCCTATGGCCCTGCGAATGGGTTGACCACGATTGCCCTAGCAAAAGCTGACGGAGAATTGATAAGAATGGCATCAGTGCAGGTGGACTCGGTGGAGCAAGCGGAAGAAGCGGCCATAGCCCTCGCCATCAACTGCAACTCCAGAGCCACAGTGATGACCGACTCGCAGAAACCCTGCAGGAAATTCGCCCGAGGTATCCTTGGACGGCCAGCGTTACGCATTCTAAAAAAAAAGCCAACTCTTGGGGATACATGTCATTTGGGCCCCTGAACATGTGGGGCCCACAGGAAACGAGGCGGCTAATGCCGCAGTCCGAGCAGCTCTATCCTTGGACTCGTCTCCATACCCCGAGGGTCCATCACCAGACATGCCGTATAACACGTACTTGGCGACTCATCGTCAAGCGAGGCGGCAGTTTCTACTACCCAACAAAGGCTTAAACAAAGAGGAATAACATCTCTGGAGAGGACTACAAACGGACACGATCATCATACCAGCAAAACATTACACATGGTATCCAAAGCGCTTTTACACGCCGAGATGTTCCTTCTGCGACGCAAGATGGACCGACGTGCATCACCTAGTATGGGTATGCAGGTAGATACACTGCCTTACACCAATTGAAGAACCTTCGACAGAGAAGTGGGAAGCAGGACTGCGAAGCGAGGATGCCAACAAGCAGCACATGCTTGTAGGAAGTGCTGTCGCAGTCACCCCTGCAATTGGAGCCCTGGACTAAGGGCACCCCACCTATCTTCTCTACCACTTTACTTCTATGTCCCCCGTTCTATTCCATCTGCCATTAAACAGAGTCTTCAACAACAAGAACAACACACGTAATACCTTGAACTTCAACACACGCATGGAATGCGCAAAAAAGATCCATTGGTGGCTGCTTAGGGAATACGTAAGCATGACCCTTAAAAACGGCACGCACGTCCCCCTTTGAGAAACGATGACGCTGAACCCTTCAATCTCTTATGGCTTTCTCTTTTGCTTCCTCCATTTCTTGCTGCCTCTTTTTGGCTTTGTTATGGGGTCAGTTTTAGCGTTTCCCAAAGGGGGAAGTGTCTGGCATTTCCCAAGGGTCATGTTAACGCATTCCCTAAGTAGCCACCAATGGATGTTCCTTTAATTTTTGGTCACCTACTTGGACCAGTGCTACTTGGTTCACACTTCATTTTGTAGCAGAAACCAAGGCATGCGTGCTCTGCACACCTGCGCGCTTCCCTTTCCACTTTGTGTTCACACACGTACGCCGTCAGCTTTTCCCTGTCAAGTGGGAACTGCTAACTCATTAATAATAAATCAGGGCGATGTTCGAGAAGACAAATACACTGAAAAAGGACCACTGTAGTCGAGGTAAACAAACACGACTGCACGAGCGTTTCTACTGTCTTGAGGGTGCCTCCACGACAACGCTGCACGGGTAGATGGACCTTCCCTTCTAAGACGTGCTGGTTTATCATGGCGTAACACGACGAGAATTCAGTCAATGATAGCGTTCTACACGGAACGATGAGCTTCGACCACGCCGACGATCATGACCAGCAGACGCCATCTTTTTTAGCAGATAGCAGGAACCCCGACCGGCATGCAACGCGCGCGGCCGAGCTCCCCTCGACCTATGATTCGTCTGTCGGTGTGGTCACTCCGTTTGTTCCCAAACGTAGCGAAAAAGTTCAGCCCGGCTCAACTCCTTGCGGTGCGAACGAACGCGAACGAACGGCCGTTTGGTGCTTCTTTGCCACGGCAACTTGTCGTCCCACCGGTTGCATTTGTTCCTATGCGTACGGAGATCTGAACGCAAGTATATGGTCTAGCTTGACGAACGAGTCCCATTCGGGTCGACGGACCACGTGGGAGTCGGACTGTTTGCTGCGGTATGGGTTTCACACAAATCATACGATAAAACGTTTTAATAAATTGGTCGCCGCCCTAAAAATTGGCTCATGTTAAAGTCCTGTGCTCTCGATTAGCTACAAAGTATCAATACGACTATTATACTATCTTGAAACATCGGCGTATGTAACGGAGAAAGTCGTGCTATAGTGGCGGCGATTTTGTGATCATACAATAGTCAGTTACAGAACATATCGTGTGCACCCATGTCAGAAGCTTTTGCGTGTATATTGTTCCGCGAGGCCCTTGGAACACCAGTTGTGGGTCTTCCTTTATTAAGTCTAAAAAAGGGCAAGCGGCATCTAACCCTGATAAGAAGAGAAACTGAATTAGGGAGAGGAGATGAGAGCATCTGGTGACGTCAGAGCGCCAAGCTTTGATTGGAAGGATCACTGACTCGACGCTTTGACGGCATGCATGCCCTCATGTTCTCTCCTTCAGTTTTTATTGGAGCAAGATTCCAATCACCCTCCTAATTGGTTAAATTTATTAAAGGAAGACCAATGATTAATGTTCCAAGTACACGCCACTTCATTATTTTTTGAAAAATCTAATAGAATTAAAAAGCAACACCCTATGTGTAGTTCTCGTGTGAAAAAAAGTCTTACCAAGTAAGTACTGTTGAAAACCGTATTTGCGTCGTTATATGATTAAATGACAAAAAAAAAATCTTTAGCCGTTTTTTTTCTTATTCCTTGTAGCATTTCGAGCTAATTCTTAGTAAGTGCTAAAGACCGGGTCCCTGAAATGCCTCCTCAAGTCTACTGGCTCGTAGAATGCATTCGCCTTAGCTACTACTTCCGCAGCGACAAAGTCCACACTGCCTTGGCCTACAAGCCCCAGCCCGATGACGTCTTCATCGTAAGCTATCTTAAATGTGGAGCAACCTGGGTACGCCAACTCTTGTTCGCCATCTTCACGGACGGCGCTCCTCCGAGGGGTATATTCGAGCTACTTCGAAGCACACCCTTCCTAGAATCCAGCGGAGCAGAGGACATAAAGAACATGCCCAGACAGAGAGCCATCAGTGCGCACTTCGGCTTCGGCAAGCACCCTTACTCGAAAGACTCCAAGTATATATATATCGCAAGGAACCCCTACGATTGCTGCGGCTCCTACTACTACCATACCAAGAGCTTCCCGGCTTATTTTTTCCAAGAAGGTACCTTCGACGAGTTCTTCGAGACGTTTGTCGGGGGACAAGTCGAGTTCGGGGACTAATTTGACCACCTGCTCTCCTGGTACGAGCACAGACACGATGCTGCTCCTCTTGACGTACGAGGGCCTCAAGAGGGATACTCAAGCCTGGCTATTAAAGATTGCCGACTTCTTTGGACGAGAGTCTGGCGAAAAGTTGCGAAACGATCCCGGGCTCGTGAATTCGATTCTGGACGTCTCTATAGCCTCGAAAACATCAGGAGGCTCTGCAGTACATGCCACGACTCGACGGAAAACCAAGCACACGTCAACGATGAGGGGCCAGGCTCACACGAGAGTCACTAGGACAAGCAGGTGACAAAGGCCCTGAAGAAACCGAGAACTGGCGAGTTTGTGCACGAGGGCACGGTCAGCTAGAGACTGGAGGAATCATTTCTCGCCGGAACAGGAGGCCAAAACGAGGAATTGGATCGGCAAGAGAGCCGCAGGAAGCGAAGTGGTGCAAATGTGGAATGATGACGTCCTTCCGTGACTATACCGGGCGGGAAGTGAGAATTAAGAGGATATCAAAGAAAATGAGCCCATGCATTTCCTATGACAACTTTTCGGTACCTATTGGCGTCGGAGAGGTTGTATTCGAAAGATAATAATAACAATATTAATCATAATAAAAAAAACTTTACAGCTTCACGGTATTAATATTTTCGATTTTGCGTTCATTGTCGTTTTACGCGTGGCCTTGAATACCAAGAAAAGAGCGAATTTACTTGTGAATCTATATCTGCTAATGTACTTCCTCGGTGCACTGTCGTTACGAAATAAATTGAGGAAGTTTGCGCTTCGGTGGGGGGTGTCTATGCAGTGGCGCCATCCCGTGATCGTGCTCGCTAAACTCCACGTGGCAGTGATCAATCAGTCCGTTCAGTGCTGTACTACTTCACCAAGAGGAATTCATTGCGCGAGGTCAGAGTGGGCTGGAGCAGCTAGAGGGGGTGGTGCGCTCATTGCCTGGTTCGGCATTTTAGCGGCGAGATGTTTCGGTGGCGCCCTCCTATGGTTCCCCCTTGTGACGTCATTACCTTGCGAACAACAAGTTCGATGGTGTTTGTAATAGCATGGTGGAAGCCTGAAATCATTGCGCTCTCAAAGCAACACTGCCAACACCGTCGAAATTAAAGTTCTTTCATTCGTCTTATTTCCGTCGATAGGAAATCCTTTGCTGACGTCATATGTGGCGTTTTGCCAGTCGTGGCAGACCGGCGAGAGCGACGTTTTCGATCCCGCCAATAGCTTTAGTCAGCTTTTGTCATAGTCAGCTTTTGGGCCAATCGTGGAAGCCCGACCACAGCGACGCTTTCGGTCGCGCACGTCGCCAATAGTAGGCTGGAAGTGATGGTGTTTTTTTGCTTTTCCGTATTGTGGCAGAAACGCCACCTGTGCATGATCTGCACAGCGACGCTGATGCTATCAGTCAAGTCACACGTGGTACACGACGCCTTGTTCTAGCCAAATAGAGTTTTTTTTTTTTATTTAGGATGAGAAAGAAAGGAAGAAGGCTGACATTGTTTTGATATTAGGTGAGCTCCAGATCTGATTAGTTTTAGGCACCCGTATGTATTGTCAGAGCTTCTATAGACGTCTAGTCTTTCTCGCATGAACATAAGGAGCTTCGCAATACGGTGGCATTAGGTTCATCGCATTTTGGCAGGCTCCGGAATATCATGAATTGACTGATGAGCCCTCACCCAGCTATGGCCGCACGTTTTCGCCTAGCCCACTTTAATCTCAGCACATTGAGACAAATAACCCGCGGCTTCAGGACAAGTGTGGGGACGCTGAGGCCGAATTGATTCAAACATCATAGATCTGCTCAGCCAATCATCTACATGAGCCGCGGTCCTGCTTGTTTTGACATGAAAAGGCATCGTACAAGTGTGCGTGATATATATCGCACCAGTCAATGAAGACGAAGATGAGGCTCAAGAAGAGCACGCTCTCACCGCGAGAGCGTTGTGTCTCATTCCAACCGAAGCCATAATGGCTATCTTCTTTTCAACTTGAACTGTTGTGTAAATAAGCGCGGTTTCAACAGGAAGAATGTATTAGTGCGGTTGTGTAATCACAGCAGCGTGGAGCACGTCAGACCTCGGATTAAGCGCAGATCGCGCTGGATAAGTTACCCCTCCACAACGTCAGACCAAATGCCACCGAATCTCAGAGGCAGATTGGCCCTTTCACTTTTGAAACCTTCACGAAGCCCAATTTGTTTTCCCTCAGACCCTTTCCAAAATTCAGTCTGGCCACTTTGATCACTATCATCATCTCTGGTTCAGTGGTGGTTCAGCAAAAGGCTCTGGGTTCAGCATGTGTACCGTACCAATGGCGGCCTTCTAGTGACTGATAAAGGAAGACGTTGAAGATGCTCGCTTGGCGGATGATGCGAAGCCTGTATACTTTCGGGGGTTAGTACGATGCGACGTAGGAATGGAACACGAGAGCTATGTACGCGTCCGTTTCTAACCCAGATTCAGTAAATCTGTGGGTGGCACACAATTGGCTTTAAAACCCTTTGGTGTATAGATTTTTGTCGAGGCGTCTGTGTGGCTTGGAGCTTTGTTCTCGCTGCAGGTTCTTCGCACCATCAAACTGAAAGTGATCGAGAAAGAGGTACACATTGAAGAATTCCTCGCCTGCCGTTGACTTGCGAAAGTGGCGGTGAAATGCCTCTTAGAGCACAAGGCCTGCGCGTTTCCTCTTCTAAACGTCATCACTAGCAGATCCCCTCAGCGCCCCCTATGTAGCCCGGATGAGCACCATCGCCTGCTACATCGTCTGCGACATCGTCAACTCCATCGCCTGCTTCAGTAATTTGTGTAGCAGATAAGGAAAGAGACGCTCCACGCCGAGATCTTCCGCTTATTATAATGAATGCTTTGAAAAGCCCTTTGCATAGTTTTGCAGTCGTGTCCGAATTTGATAATGTCAGCACTTTTATGCGGCTTCTTTACAGTAACACAATGTGACTGCTAATTTCCGTTTTTTTTTTTTTTTTTTTCGTTTAGGAATTAAATGAACGGAATGGGGGAGTTCAGTCATTCCAGGTGTGGGAATGGGCCCAGTGTTTTCATTCCGAGGAGTTGAAAGGGATAAAATTGTTAGAAGCTCGAATTCCCCAGCATATAAATGAAACCGAACGGGGGGGGGGGGGGGGGGGGGGGGGGCATTTCGCAACGCTGTTGGCTATCACCCATCTGAACAAACGTTTCACATTGCAATTAACTGACTTCGAGGTAAAAAATAAAACAACAATGAAAACACCTGCATGCTCTCGGGAATCGGATGAGGCCTCTACCTATCTCGCCCCAGATGTGGAGTGCAAGCGACACAGCGCACACGGACTGCACCTGCGCAGTTTGTAAAACTCGTCCGACAAGATCGCACGAAACTTTTTCACAAGCTCAGCGAAGACAACGCTCGGGAGATAATTGTCCCAGATCGGTATGTTTTTGCCTCCCGTTAACAGATTGTCATTTCACTTCGTTTGACGAGCATGGTGGTTGTTAGCCTGGATTCGGTGGCCTTCATCCGTCCACGTTGCGGCGGCAGCGAGCACGACTTCATACTGTGCTCTTATGGGGACTGGAACGCGTGTTCGACTGGTGGGTTTACCGTTACCTAAAAAGTGGCCTCTCGGTTGTTTTTTTTTAACAATATGTAGAAGAAAGCGAAGACAAAATACAAAGAATTGCGAGTTCAGCGCTGTGTCTATGTTTTTATGTCTGTAATCGAGCGAGTGAGGCAGTTTTGTGAGACGTTTATGCGATGTGAAGTCGTAAGTCCACTGAGGCTTCGGCAACCAGGAGTGGGGACTCTGCGACGACATCGACACTTGCGCTAGATCGTACTTTTTGCTGGAAATTCTAGCACCAGCCGCCAGGATCGCTACCTTGTCTTCTTACGTACAGGCAAACGCTTACTGCATGAAAGGGGCTTTTGTCGTTTTCTCTTACTTGTACCGCTAGCTACACCCTGAAACAGACATGGGTGCATAGTTAACTCTGGGTGACTCTTGTCTCATTTAGCTGCATCACATTTTTCGCCCAGCGGAGTCACTCTCGACCGCAAAACATTAATTTATAAGAACCGTGAGGGGCTGTCAGTTTTAATGAGTGCACAAGCTATTTGGCTGGCTTTCTGAACAGCAGCCAAAACGTTTCAGTGCCGACAACAGCCTAGAGTTTTATGCATTACCTGGTCTTAAAGTGATAACTTCCGGTAGTGCCACTCGATCCTAGCAAGTAGGGGTGTCGCGAACTTTTGTCGAACCGAATTTTTAGGTAAAACTTCCGAGGTTCGACTGCTTCGAACCGGTTTGACGAACCTTCGAACTTAGATTCGACCGGTTCGACTTTGTGGACACGGTGGCCAGACCATGGTACAAGCATGTCTAGATTTGGAGATTTTCTTTTTTCCATGCAAAGAGCTATTTTATTTTTATGAACAGTTGCAATTAAAAAGAAACTTATTCTGATCACTGAAGAAGTTAATAACTTAATTTTTTATACTGTATTAACAGAAATAATCAATCAGTGCTGCCCATAATTCATCCCTTAGCCATCACCATCCAATCTGAAGCCAACTGGCCAGCCTGTCGCGCATGCGCATAGCAGTCGAACCTGAGTCGAACCTTTTTCGACGACCTTTTCACACGAAGTTCGAAACAGTCGAACCTGGTCGAACTCGAACCTCGACCGGTTCGCGACATCCCTACTATAAAGACAAGCCTCGATCCGCGATCCAGCCTACTACAATGGAGATCATTGGGAGACCCTATGCAACGTTGACCCTATGGAGCGGCCATGCTTCTATCCCCGCTTTGATGATGATGATTGGGCGACAGGAGCGCCACCTCTATGTCGTTCTCGAGGCCAATAGCGCATAAAGCAAAACAAATAAATACTCACGGAAAGAACAACATCGCAACGGCGGATAAAGCTTCTAAAAATTACTCTGTCGGCTCAGAACGACGAGGCCGCTGCTACAAATTCTAAAAATGACTTCGCCGGCTGTGTGGGGGATGGTTCCGCCGGCCTGCAGGACTCCCAGCTTTGCGGCGGGATGCTGTGTTTGCGTCTTTTGGTGGCTGGCGTGCTGACGGCGGGCCTCGGACACGGTTTCAAGGCCGCGGTCTACGAGCACGTTCTCCAGGGTGACCGCGAGAAGGACCCCTTCGAAGAGGTCGTCGCCAAGAACCTGGAAAGCTACGGCCAGGCCGTGCTCGAAGCCGCCGCACAGGTGAGAAAGAGAGAGAGAGAGAGTGAGGAAATAAAACTAAGAGACATAAGTAAAAAAAAAAAAGGAGGGATATAGTGAGAGAACGAACGAACATGAAAGAAAGGGGAGAGAGAGTGAGAGATTATGATGTAGTGAAAGAGAAAAATATGACATGGATGATGGAATGAAAGATAGATTGAATTTTATAAATATAGTGAGATGGAGGAGATACATAATGAGAGAGGATTAGGTTGAGAGGAGTGAGAAAATGTGGATCATAAGAAAAAAAAAAGATTACAAACAATCCCTAAAAAAAAAAAAAAGCAAAAGAGGTAAGCTATGTGAGTTGTAACTTCTAATTTGCTAGGGGGGGATCGGTGGCCGAGTCAATAAAGAAAAAAAAAAGGATCGGTGGCCGAGTGGTCTAGCGCACATCAGCTCGGAGCACGTGGAGCGAAAGCTCGCGCTGCAGAACCCAGGGATCCTGGGTTCGAGCCCCACCCCTGCCCGTTTCGATCTGGATGAGCATCGTACCGGCGTGCGGTCGTGTATCACTACTGCGTGATGCACGTCAGACCCCAGGCTAGCGGCTGTACCGCACTGGCTAAATTTCTCCTCTACAGCTGGGAGACTCGTCGCCCCTGTGAGGCAGAACAAGTTCTAGGCTGTATAAACACACGCACAACCCAATTTTTTCTAATTTGCTACCTCTTCCATATAGAAGACCAAGTGGGATCAAGAATTATGGAAACAAAATAAATTAGATTAACGTAAATGAAGTGTTTGTAATAAATTACATCAAATACAAATGACAAAAACAAAACTGAGATTTCTACATTTTATGGCTGCCTGCTCCCACCAGACCTCCTGTTCCACCCATTGATTTTTTTCCGAATGGTGTTACCTTCCTTTCCGAAGAGTCTGGGAGAGAAGGAAGAGAAAAGAATCTTCCGCCTTGCAGAAAATCGAGGTTGTCGGTAGGCCTTTAAACGAAGAAGACGATAGGAACATCTCTTTTCGGCGCCTACCAGAACACTCTGAACATGACGATATAGTCCAAAACAATACAGTATTTTGGTACCTTTCATATTCGTTTTCAAAAGTCTGAGGTAACCATGTTCCTGCTTTGATTTGTGTATGCTTTGCTGCGATACAGTTAACACACGATCAGCTCGAATTGTATATACGGAAGTTCGATGTTGGCCACCCTCCTTGACCAATTAGATGTAGACCCGTATATACCTGTTTGTGCACAGACATGTCTGGAGTCTTTGAGGTGTGGTGTGCCTCAGGGAGATGCACGAGTTCATAATGAAAAGAGAGTTTCCACTCATCCTTACTCTATTGTGGTAACTTAACGTGTGCACCGAATTGTGTGCTTCGCATACATTGACATGTCTGGAGTCTGAGATATGGTGTGCCTCAAGGAGATGCACGAGTTCATAACGAAAAGAGAGTTTCCACTCATCCTTACTCTATTGTGGTAACTTAACGTGTGCACCGAATTGTGTGCTTCGCATACATTGCTTGCATGTGACGTCATTCGCGGCCATGCTAGTATTTGATGCGCCGCGAGCGTTAGGTTCGCCGTGTTAGTTGCACAGCGCAGAAGTTGTAGTTCGAAGAAACCAGAAAGTAGAAATAGCCGTCAGTACCCAGCAATGGCGACACTTGCAAAGCTATGTATACCTTTAAGACGCCGTCTGCTGATACAGCATGCGAAAGACACTGCAGACATGATGACAGAAGTATGCGGACACGCCCAAGCATGTTTGCTTCATGCATGTTTTGTTTTGTACACGTCTGCAAACATTTATTGCGTGTGACAGGACACCTCAGACAGCGTCAGCGGACTGTCGTTACTAATGCGTTAGCATTAGGACAGGGAAAAGCTGACGGCGTCCGTCTGTGGACATAGCAGTGGAAAGGGGAGCGTGCCGCGTAGAAAGGAGGAGGGTAGTGAAGGACAAAGGTTAGAGGGAGGCGACGTCACGGGGCGGAAGCCAATAAGCGCGCGGACCCTGGGGCGAGTCTGAACTTGCCATTGTGCGGAGCGCGTTGACAGTGACCCCGTTACGAACCCAAAAAGCGGCAGCAAAAAATAGACGAACCAAAAGAGAAAGCCGAAACAGAAAAGTGAAGAGGTCAGCGTTAGCGTTTTCCGAAGGTCATGCTAACGGATTACCTAAAGATCCACCAATGAATCTTCATTTTTATTTATTATTCATTAGCAGTGAGATTGCGATTTTAGGACTGCAGCTAACGACGACTTGCACCTCTAGGGATGCGACATCATCGTGTTCCCGGAGAAGGGCCTGATGGTCGGCCTGGAGACAAGTCGGGACAAGCTCACGCAGCACGCCGAGGACATTCCGGGCCCTGGAACGCTGCCTTGCCTCGACGGAGAGGAAAGCAGGCCCCTGCTGTCCAAGCTAAGCTGCATGGCGAGGGCCAACCGAATCTACCTGGTGGTGAATGTGTACGACCAGAAGCCCTGCCCGGAGGGCAGCACTTCTTGTCCGTCGGACAACCGCCTCTTCTATAACACTAACGTGGCTTTCGACCGGACAGGAACCATCGTTGCCAGGTAGGTTGGCTCGATACCAACTAGAGGACAAAGCCCGCGCCTTAACCAACCCCCCCCCCCCCCAAAAAAAAAAATAAAAAAATAACAAGCATCCTTTATAGTGATTTTACGCAGTACCGCCTACCTTGCGTTAGCATCACCGCCAACACATCTCGTAGCGTCTCACAGCGAGCATGACATAGCACGCGGCGACGCCAAGACTAGGGTGCCTAGAACGCGTCTCCGACTAGTGTGTTTAGCGTCCTATACGGAGCACAAGTTCGTCTGCTTCTTTTGCGGGGGGTTGTAGTGACGTCAGGACGCCGACCTCTGATTGGCTCTGATTAAAGCACAGTGGGTAGACCTCAAAGCGGCTTACTTTGTGATCTACTCACTATCCTTTAATCAGGGCCGATCAGAGCTCGGCGTTCTGACGTCACCGGAAAAGAAGCAGACAAACGTGCGGCCCCGCATTCCGCCCATGCATTCAGAGTGGTCCCCGAAGTGGAAAGAAATGACGTCACGAAAGCCGGAGTGTGGCGGCCGAACGTAGAAGTTGTGGAAAAAAAAGCACGAGAAAACGTGACTGTCGCTGTCGTCGCGGCATCCTAACTTGTGGCTGCTGATGCCTCCGCGGAACTGTCAAGCTGGAAAGCGGGATACGGTCCATTCGTCGCATGCACACTCGTCACAGGACAATTGGTCCCAGGACGATTCGTCACACAGGAACATTCGTCATAGGATGACTCGTCACGCGGCCAACTGGTCCCACAATAGTTCATCCCCCCAAAAATGTCGACAATAATCTCCGGAGAAGGGGAACAAGAGGGACAAAGGACAAACATAAATTTCCAAACGCAGCTAGGTGACTGGTGACGTCTGAAAAAATCCGCCTTGTAACCCAAAAATGTATTGCTCAATTTCGTTCGGGCGGACAGAGTGGCTCACCTCATATCTTGGTATGTGTTTGGCTTCTGAAAGGCGAAGAATTTGTAACAAACGTTTTAGCTTCTGGTTCGGTCCCGAACGTTGAATGTTGGTTCGGCCTCAGAAAGTGGGTCACCTCTTATCTTAGCATGTCTTTCGCTTCTCAAGGTCAAAGAATTTGTAACAGACGTTTTAGCGTCTGGGTCCGTCCCGAACGGTGAATGCGGAGGCCATATAAAATCGACTAATTTTGAACTCGGACTACATTCAAAAGGATGAATGAAGGTGATCGCAACAGAGAGAGGTGGAGCCATGCAGCTGCACGAGGGGTACTCGTACACATGCAGCAGAAAGAATTCCCATACTTATTGGTTTTCTCGAAGAGGTGTATGCTGAAGACTCGTAATATAATGCTGGAGACTCGTAATACCTGCTGAAGACTCGTAATATAATGAAAGTAAAATGCGGAGGAGTATTGTAAGATTAGTTTTCCTAACCATTGGTTTATGTGACATTGAGAAGTCGTGAAACTCCTCATCAGCGAATGTGGGCAGTTGTTGAAATTTGTGATTTACTATCGTTTCCTGCCCGATCGATGTGGCCAGTTGCCCGCATGACGAGTCATCCTGTGACGAATGTTCCTATGTGACGAATCGTCCTGTGACCAATCGTCCTGTGACGAGTGCGCATGTGACGAATCGTCCTCATCCCCTGGAAAGCGACCTACAGCAGAACCGGCGCCTGCAACATCCACCACCGCTGCTGTTACACCGCCAGGATCGCGACCGGCGACAGTATGGCACTTTTATGACGTCATCAGGCGAAAATTGAGGGACCACCTTTTTTATAGTCAAAGAGGCACTATAGTCAAAGATGCACTATAGTCAGAGATGCGCTCCAAGCACTATACCGGTGTCTCTCGTCGGTACGGTGCCTGGAGTAGCCGCTTGGTGGCGGGTCGGGGATCCACTAACTAGTGCCACTAAATAAGCTACGCTTCAGAGTAACGACACTTGGCCATATTGTGGCTTAAAATCATGGTTGCCAGTTATCTGAAGCTTTATCTGAAATCACAGGAAATGCTTTTCCGCCCTCCACAAATGTTTAAACCGCTCGCGACAGAGCAAAGCAATATTACATGAGCTTCCTAACACCGAATCTAATGCTGAGGAAGTCGCACTTTTGAATCATGACGATCGGCCGTTGCGTCTGTTCTGCATACGAGCCAAAATGGCGGCGCCCACAACAATGTCGGGGAACGGAGTGCCGATACTCTAAGCGCAGCTTATTTAGTGGCTCTACCACTAACGATGTCGTCATGCGCGGGCCTTGTCTTCTAGATGGTATTGGTTCTACCACGTCCATGATGGCGGCATGGGGTTGCATACGTGTTGCAGGTACCACAAGAACCATCTTTTTCTCGAGCCTCCGTTGAACGTGCCGGAGCCTTTCGAGACGGCGGTGTTCGAGACCGACTTTGGCGAGCGGGCGGGCATGTTCATCTGCTATGACATCCTATATGCCGAGGCCTCGGAGCTGGTGACGCGACACAACATCAGCCTGGCCCTGATGAGCACCTTCTGGTAAGGGTGGTGCAGCAAGGACTGGCTGGTACTTGATGTTTGGGCAGCTGAAAAAACTAAGAATTTTTGTTTTGGCTTAAAAAAATGCAGCTTCATTTCGATCCATCAATCAAACCGTCATATACAGAATTGCGTTTCATGAGGAACGCAGCAGCCGTTAACCCCAGTCTCAACTTTCCGGTCACGCGACGCCGTTCCAGCCTACCACTTCAGTGTTGTTGTAACACCTAGATGACTGGACCTGCGCCTTTCCCCCTGAGCATATGGATGAATGGATCCTTTGCCATCGAGTAACGTCCCTGGATATTTTTTCGTTTACGCAGTGAAAAAACATCGAGGGACTTCATCATCGAGCGCTTGGTTGCGCCACCTAGTGAAAGCTTCCAATTCCAAGAATTAACTAATTTCCAATTAAATTTTGATATAATGGAGGAGGATAAAGAATCTCATATTGCCGCTAATCTTCCCATTGTCTATGTCTACGTCGCTGCCTTTAAAGCCCAATGCCTGTACTGAATCGGTATCACCTTGACTCTTGAGCAACTGAAGGGGAAAGTACTATTAAGTGCTCAGACGTCTCTTCTTCCTCCCCACATGTTCCACACACTGTCTTCGCCTCCAACGACAACGAGCTTCCCCTAGAATTATCATAGATGCTTTCCTTAGCAACATTTATCTTATATATTTTCTACAACTTCCCAGAGCCGATTTAGTGTGCATCCCTGATTCCCATCGTTCCTGTCCCATGTCTCTTAGTCTCTCTTCAAATTCTATCCTACTACTCGGTTCCCTGTCCTCAAATGAGGCTGCACCCCTTGATTCGGTGCTTTACCATGCTTTACTAAGACTCTGTTGTACTCCGACATTGAGCGAAGCGAACGTAGAGTAGCGCCTTTCATTGGCCGGCGAGCAAGAACTTGCCTTTTGGGGAAGGTCGTGAATCCACCACTAATGACGCCATGTGCAGCTCTTGTCTTCGAGGTGGTATGGCTCAGCGTCACCACGCCCTCTATTTGAAGTTTTTTTGTTGTTGTTTTTTCGTGTGGTTTTCGAAGTTTTTGCAGCTGGTGGAGTCTTCTCCAAGCGTGTCGAAGTACCCTCTCTACCCTTTTCTATTTTTTTTTTTCGTTTTTTGATTGGCGGAGTTTGCGGCGGTAGCCGGACACGACAAACAACAAATTGTTGTGTGTCTGTTTATACAGCCGGAAGTTAGTCTGCCTCAGTGGGCGCCTGGTGTGTCAGCTGTAGACGAGTAATTTAGCGAGTGCGGTACAACCGCTAGCCTTGGGTCTTTAACGTGCACCACGCAGTAGTGATACACGACCGCACGCCGGTACGACGCTCATCCAGATCGAAACGGGCAGGTGGCCGGACAGGCTTCATTCGTTCTTTTTTTTTTTTTTCAGGGCCGAATCTGAGTTAGGATTCTGCACTAAAGCGCGAAGTAACCAGGGACACGTCCATAATCAGAGTATTCACAAACCCTGTTGCAGGTTCGACTTCTTGCCGGGTCTGTACTCGGTGGCTGTGCAGCAGGCCTGGTCGCTGCGTCACGGCGTGCCGCTCTTGTCGGCCGGCGTCCAGCGTCCCGAAACGGGGACCATGGGCAGCGGCATCTACGCTGGCGCCTCGGGACCCCTGGTGTACAGCCACAGCCCGGACGGAAGGTCCAAGCTGCTCGTCGCGGACATGGACGCCGCCCCACCCGAAGACCCGAGGTATACGCTTCCTCCTACAAATGTATGGGGTGCCCGGCAAGATGAGTTCGCTCCGTAAACACTTTATAAACTTCGCAAATGCCCAAAAGAGGTGGCACACGGGACAGAAACAAGGTGTCCTCTAAATTGCCGCCTCGTGAAATGTTAAAAAAAAAAGAACTGTAATGTTTTTTTGTGTGTGTGTTTGCGCGCGCGCGCGCGCGTGTGTGCCTGTGCGTGTGTGTGTCCTGCTGCAAAATTTAATGACGCTTTGCCGAACGCTCAGTCTACGCCCAAAGTGGTCTGGGCCGATGCCAAATTTCCTGCGCGTGCCGTTATAAGGTTCAAAAGTTATAAGCAAATTTCCAAATTTTTCACTGGGAAGTTCGCGGAGATAAAACATGTAAATAAAAAAACGGTGAAAATGCAGGCGAGCTGATTGAAACCGGAGACTGTGGTTTGAAAAACGGAAACTCGTGAAGTGGGAAGAAAGAGGGACAGACAGCGTCTCAAACTCAGCTAAAATCTTTATTGCCTCTACGCCTTATATACACCTCCCCCGAACGTCGCCACCACCACAACGGTTGATCACCGAACTACAAACAACACACCCGAATCACAATACACCGAACCGCAATCAATACATAAAAAACAAAAGAGAAGCGTGCCCTATCGTTTCCATCTTCAATCAGTACACGGGGTCCGATACAAACAGAAACACAAGGCCGTCACCAGGGCGCCCGGAAGGACTTTGACACGCACATTGTATCACGACACGGACAATGTAACACTTGTGATACATTGTCCGTGTCGTGATACATTGTCCGTGTCGACGTCCTTCCGGGCGCCGTGGTGACGGCCTTGTGTTTCTGTTTGTATCGGACCCCGTGTACTGATTGAAGATGGAAACGATAGGGCACGCTTCTCTTCTGTTTGTTATGTATTGACTGCTTTCGGTGTATTGTGATTCGGGTGTGTTGTTTGTAGTTCGGTGATCAACCGTTCTGGTGGTGGCGACGTTCGAGGGACGTATATAAGGCGCAGAGGCAATAAAGATTTTAGCTGAGTTTGAGACGTTGTCTGTCCCTTTTTCTTTGCACTTCACAAGTTTCTGTGTTTCAAACCACAGTCTCAGGTTTAAATCATCATCGGGGTTACCAGATTGGGCTATTAATAGCCGAATTGGGCTGCCTACTGATAAGTTTGGCGTCGAAATTCGGCGGCTGGCTATATGTGGCTACGTGCGGCTATTTTTGGGCTATGTCCAATTTTTGCCCGATATCCGTGAAATTGCCCCCGTTCCCTCTGTATACTGTCGAATATCTCAAGAAACCCGGTACAGCATCCTTCATGTGAAGTTGTTTTTTTTTTCATTGGGAGGAAACAGTGTTGCAAAGATATTAATCCTTCCGACGAATGTTTCGCTCGGTTTAACTCTAAGGTACTGCACGGAGCTAGTACGAGTGGGAAAAATGCTTCCTAAAATATTGTTCATAGCATGAAACTGTCCAAATGTGTCCACATGAGCTTTTTGTTTTATTATTTGAAATTAAACTGTTTTCTGAATATTGTAAGACTTTGTTTTCGCATACTATCTCTCACCATACAGAAGCAGAGCTTTCGCCGTCAGCTTGTAAGTCAATATCGAAATTTTGGCTACCTTTGGGCTATGCGAATATTTCGCTTTTGGCTACTTTTGGGCTACACTGACTAGCCATTTGGCTATATCAGCTAGGAGCTATCTGGCAACCCTGATCATCATGCATAACGAAAATAAATACTTCTTTAGTGCACTTTTGACGCGTCCGAGAGAACCGTGGCATTGCGCGCGAAAATCGTTTTGATAAAGTGTCAAGCCATGACGCCAAAACAGCACAGAGTATGTGTTAACACAACGCTGTGTATGAGAGCATGCCACGAACATCGTAGTGAATGGATATTTCCGGAAAATGCCAGAAGGTCTCTGGTCGACCCTACATTGTATACTGCGTGGCACGGGGAGCTGTAGGGCCTTTCCGATGTACGCTTGGGCCGGCTCGTACGCTCCTCCTGGCCAAAAGCGGCGGAATTCCTTCTTTATAGTTTATGTGAATTCAGAACACAAAAAAAAACAGAGTGAACACATTACAAAGCCGATACATGCCCTTTGTTATCGTCCAGCTTTCTTTGCTAGACCAACCTGAGCCACTCCTTAATTAAGTACTCTCTCACGCGTCGTACATCGGATTGCCGTACAGTGTGTCTGAAAGACAATAGGAGACGCTGCCTATTTTTGGAATTGTATGTATTGCGGACGCCTTCTACTGCAGGTACGCAGGAGACACACAGAGCACCGATGGCCTTTCCTACCTGAATTTGCGCACTGACGGCTACGTTGTGAGAAAGCTACCGGGTGCAAGCGGGGAGATGAACGTGTGCAACGGGGACTTCTGCTGCCACTTGTCGTACGAGAGCCCTAACTTCCAGGATCCCTTCTTCCTGCTGGTCGTGAACGGCCAGACGCAGTTCATTCCGGCGGAGGTGAGCATAAAGAGTGGTCAACAAACGCAACCGTGGATACTTTACTAAGGGTGAATACTAGACAATGCACGACTGAATCTCTGGAGGCGACCCGTTTTCAATTCAGACACCAAGCCAAGAGATGGCGCTAGCGGACGCGACGATAATTCAAAATATAAAAGAACTTGTTGTTGGGCTAGTTGGTGTTGACTGTATTGAACCATGGTTAAAAGCGCTAAAAAGACGTACACCCCTGAGCGATATGAAGGTGAACAGCCCTCTTCTTGTTTTTGACGCTCCTGCAAGTTTTGGAACAAGCTTTGTTCCAGAGGAGGGCTAGAACGCAAAGTTAAGACCCCAAGCCACGTACCATTTGAGACGTTGAAAGTTAATATAGCTTTAGGGAGCCGTAAAACAGGCAAGAAACCAGGTAAGGTGTTCACCTTCATATTGCCGGCGGGTGTACACAAGATAGAAGACAAACACGGGCGGTTCAATTCAAAATATACCGTTAAAAGCCTTAACCTTAGAATGTTTTTTCTTCCTCTAACATGGGAGATTAGTTAATTGCTGACATTAAGAATTTTGGCTAGGTGGCACGATTAAAATGGTTCTGCCTATCCATCCATCCGTCCATCCACAATCCATCTATACATCCATTACAAATTGCCTCTAGGGGCGGTTCGAGGATCTACAAACGATGACATCATTCCCAGGCCTTGTCCTCTAGGTGGTACTCGCTGAATCCGATTCTCTTGTCACGCAGGCGTGCGTGCTAACCGTGTGCCATCCGGGGAACGATCAGCAGCCCTGTGCCGTGTTCCCGACCCGGTCGCGGACCAGGTTCACGAGGCTCCTCCTGAAGGCCCGGTACTCCTCGCCGCACCTGTTTCCCATGGTGGCGTCCGACGAGCTCATCCTGACGCCCGTGCGTTACTGGACCTTCGAGACGTCCGCCGTGAACAACACCACGTCGTTCGCCATCGACGAGCGCGACCCGCCCGCAGAGCCGATCCTGCATGTCTTCCTCGTGGCCTTCGCGTACCAGGACGACCCGACGACCAGGCAGGAACACATCGCCAGTGCGCTCCGTCGCCATCAGCGTTCCCGGGTCAAGTCGCGGGTGTCGGACGTGTCCCGCGAAGGAGTGTGTCCCACCGGGAGGGACGTGTGTGCCTTGGACGAGGGTCCACGGAATGGTACAATGAGTGTGACGAAGCGCCCCCGACGTCCACGTAGATTGCCTTAGTGATTCTAAAGCCGCGGTTCCACTGCTCATACCATCACACAAAACGCAATCTCCAGACAGTGTCTGAAGCGTGTTTCGTTCTTGTACGGCGGTCCTGACAACACATTGGTCTTACCAGAACTGTCTGCAGACATCTTCAGAGCATACAAGTGTGTGAAGCCAATATGCTTCGAACAAGCTTGAGGCGTGACCGCAGACAGTTCTGCCATCGTGTTGGGACTGCGGCTTAAGAATCCGATGCTCGAACTTCGTGCATCTTCAAAGAAGGGCACTGCCGGTTCGAGGCCCTCGGGCAGGCGCGGACGCGCCCCGCGCAGCCTTGCAGACGTGTCGGCTCTTCGATTGGCTCGCATTGGCCCCTTACATGTGGCGCCATCTCACGGCATTTGGCAGAAATGCAAGCGAACCTTCGCCACACTTGCTCTTGGCGAGGCGGTGTCTTTCAAGCACGTATCTGTGCTTCGACCGTGTATGGAAGAGGACCGTCGGTTGCTGCGTTAACAATGGAACCTCGTTAACAAAATAGAAAAGAAAAGAAGGTGTACGTTTTTATTTACCACGAAAGCTGCGTTGCCATTTACTCAACCTTTAAAATATATGTTTCCCCACGATGCAGTAGGCCCTTCTGGAAATACACAGTACCTCCCGTTGTCTTTTCGACGCTCTAGGGCAGTCGGATCCCGCGAAAAAGTACCCATGAATTGAAGGAGCGGTTCGTGTTGATTCAGTATTTTGGGATTTCGGAACGCAGAGAAAGCAGGACGATAACAAAGCAGGATCGGCTTTGAGATGTGTTCGCTCTATTTCCTTGTGTTCTGGACTCACCATGGTAAAAAGAAGAAATTGCGCCAATTTCAGGAGCTTACGAGGCGGCCCGAGCGTACGTCAGGAACGGCCCCACAATTCCCCGCGTTGCGCGGTGCAATGTGGGATTAACAAGAGGCATTGTGGGATTTTCGCGAAAGGACTTTTGCGCCACTTTCAGGATGTAGGGAACGTACGAGCCCGCCCGATTGTACGCCCGAACGGCCCCACAATTCCCTGCGCCGCGCGGTACAATGTGGGGTCGACTGTACTTTTCTCTATACAACAACGGGATTCGAGTTGAGTGGAATCACTCTCTTGTTCGTCTACAGCTATAATATACGAAGTACATGTTTTAATTAAACAAAGAGCCAGTTTCAGACGGGTGTAATGCGAAGTGTTTTTCAGTACCTGAATTTAAAAAGAAGAAAAAATACGCTATATTGACGTAGTATGGAGAGTACTCACTGGCGGTTATAGTATGCACGGCTGCTGAGCGCGTGCTGACGGCAACCTTTGTCAGTTCTTTCGCCACGTGCATTTCACGCCATCAAGACTGCCGGTCTTGGCAGGCCAATAATGTGTGAGCTCGTTGTGAGCATGCGCTCTTAACATCGCCCTTAAATATGGCGTCTATATGGTCAAAAAAAGGCATTTAAGTGCTGTATTTCGAAAGAACAGAATTCATACATCCGGTAATATTTTACCCGGTGTAATATCTGACTTACTTTTCATAAATAGCGAAGTGTGTAACAAATTGCGTAAAAGGTGTTTAAAACAAGTAATGTTAGAACTCTCATCGAAGAAAAAAATCACACCAATCAAACAGTTTAAAATAATGCATAACAAAACGGAACCTGCAGTTTTTTTTTTTTTTGTAATATAATAAAATACAATAAAACGAAACTCCCGGGGCTGAATTTGGACAGACATGAAATAGCGTAAATTTGTAAATATATATATATATATATATATATATATATATATATATATATATATATATATATATATATATATATATATATATATATATATATATATATCGCACGTAAACAAAAAACAAGAAAAAAAATTAAAGCACGTTCACTCATTGTAACGCTCAGAAAAAAACAAAAATGTCCTGTTTTTTTTTTTCCCCGCATGCAAGAGAGAAGAACGACGGCGTAATCCAGTCGATGCATTTTGTGACGAACGCAGACTGAGTGCCACTTCCTTATATATTTCCGGTCACGTGACGCGCTGGCGTTTTCAGCCGCATTAGGTGTCCAGGTAGACGAAATAACGCAGTACGTACGGCTCGCCTACTTCGCCAAATCGGCCACGCTTTCCAGCTAGCCTACTCGTCACCACCGACAGATTAAGCATTCCCTGGAACTGCGGATAAGACGTACGCACGATATGTATTCGCATTTGCTCGCCCTGTATACTTAACGCCACGGTCACAACTGTCAATACCATAGCCTCTTCTATACTCACAAAGCCTGGCATTTCGACGACGGATCCCTATAGAGTGCCCGATATCATAGATATGGAGCGCGAGGATCTGGTAGCACAGAGCATCAAAGAGCCATTTCTCGGAGAATTTAGATGTCAGCGCACAGCTTCTGCAGCGGCGAGGACCCGAAACACACTCGTTCGCTCGGGAGATGTGTGTTTCGGCATCTCGTCGCAGCGGGGCGCCGCCCACGTGGCTCTCCTCTGATCCGTTGTTTGCTGCTCCACCTTTTCCATTCCGACGGCTGCTTCTCGTGGCGATCTGCCTGCCTTTGTCAGTATATAGAAGGCTATGCTAATACATTATACAAGAGACAATCTGCATACACTATCTGAGGCGCATTTTTTTGTATGACAGTCAACTTGGTCGCTCAAAAACTGACTGCAGACTTGTTGAAAGCAGACGTGTATAAAGCAAACATGCTTGAGGCGGTGACCGCAGATAATGCTGCCATCATGTCAGCAGCAAACGCCGTGTCTTTTTGTAGTAAACATGTGTGACAGGCTAAAAAAAAGATGCAAAGAAGCGTGGCCGTATTGTTTGAAGCGTGCGGTCCGTACGGTGTCGAACGCACGCCTGCTTCTTTGCCAATTATAAAAATCCTGGAAATTTGGTTCCCCGGAATTTTCATGTCTAGACGCGATCAGATGGTTGTGTCTCCACGGAGCGTGTCGGGAGAGCTCCGATCCCGACTGCCGTTTGCCCTCCTGGCCAAGAGATGGCACTCCGGCGCACCCGGCGAAACTGGGAAAAAAACTCCCTACCCTAGCCTCCTTCATTCTAGAAAGCCTGTCAAATCGCGAAAGAACGTGGCTGCTGTGAAGGGGAAAGGAGATCACGGAAGAGAGCGCGTGCAAGGGGCCGGTCAGGCAGCGCCAAACAATACCCCAGCGGTAAACCCAGGAAACGGAACGCGCTCCATTTTGTTTTGTTTCTTTCGGGAAAAAGCAAATTCAGCGTCGACCCCTCTCCCGTTTTTCCATGCGCCGCCTTTTCTCACCACGCTGACCTGCTGACCTTGGCTGACCGCGCCTGGGGGTAGACTATGATCTCGGAAGTAATGCAAACATACAAACGCAGATGTGTTTCGCGGAGAGGCCGCAGGCTGCCGCGTGGCGCTGGCTCCCTGGTCACCCCAGAAGTGGCTCTGCTCTACCATATCGTTAACCGTTCGGCGCAAATCCTCGCCTTTTTCCGGCGGCCGTGCACTCCATGGCTGCGTCGCGAAATTGTCCGGCTTTTATTAAGACTAAAGGAGGCTATGTCCCGACGGTTCGGATGTCAAAGGGGTCGCTTTCTCTCAAGAAAAGTGACTTGCAGAAGCACAGATGGATCAACAGATTCTCTTCAATGAATCCCAGGGCATGCTCGCATTAGAGGAAATGAACATGCCGATAGCCTAGCCACAGCAGCGCATCTTACAACACCTCCTGTAGCCACGCCTGCTAACCTACAGTTAGTGAGACTCGACGTCCGCTTGCACCTATCGACAAGCAAAATCCGCCATAACCAAGAGGTCCCATGTCTATATATATCTCGGGCGGCGGAAACTTGCACGGCACGCACACATACGTCATGCACGAACGCCTTCCTGATTTGGTTGGGGAAAGGGACGGAACCCAAGATGCCACCAGTGTGATGCAGAAGAGCCACTGTAACACGTACATCCTACGTGTCTACCCAAAGTATGAAACACGCCAAGCAGTGTGTGGTGAGCCAAAGGATCAACTAAGGCATCCCAGCAACAACAGTAGACATCTTCTCAGACGGAACCCGATAAACGTGTCAGAGGACTTTAGAAGCAGTGCTGGCTTTCCTATGGGACGCAGTCAGAAGCGATTGTCTTTAGGTCAAAGTAGGACAATTAAGCTACACCGAGGGCATACAAACACTCAACAGCCCTCATTAGATCTCGTCACCTGCTCGGGCTAGGCTAACCTATAGGTCACGTAAAAGCTAAACGGCGCAGGCACACTTCAGATCCGCGGACGCTCTTTTCCTTGACGTCAGCGTAGGACCTGGGCAAGTGAAGCAGATCGCACAGGTATGGCGTTTTTGATGACTGACACCGATAGGTACGACAAGTGTCGGCCCCTAGCCCTTGGTGAACCGCGTGTCGCGAAACAATTGCCCCGCCGCCGTATGAAATGTTTCCGGACTCGGAATCGACTGCTTTACTAAATAGCTGCGAAATGATACGACCTCTGCTCCGCGAATCTTTCAATTTCTTCTTGGCGGCGGAGATACCTCTTGACTTCAATTTCTTGGCGGCGGAGATACCTTTATCTGGCGTATTTGGGAAGCGAGATTATGCACTGCGCCGATGTCATACGTGAATTTTTTAGAGTTTTTGTAGTTTGCGAGCTAGGAAGAGACTGGCCTCCAGATCCAGAGTCCTCCCTTCGCAAGAACCTCTACGACTGCTGTGTTTGGCAGTCACTTCTAGCAGCGACTTATCTTCAATAGATACCAAAGGCGGATTCCGATACCGCAGGGAAACCTTTCTTTGACCTAAGTCTTCCCACTCGAGTTACTTATCTGCGTCGCTAACGCCTGTCTCCTTCGATTTCCACTGTTACTGCCAGATACCAGGAGCCATGAGCGCCTCGGCGACGAGTCCGCCAGCCTACAGGCGCGTGGAGGGCCTCCTGCTAGGGTACTTTTTCAGCGGAGACAGCGTCCGCTCTGCCCTCACATACCAGCCACAACCGGGTGACATCTTCGTGGCAGGATACCCCAAGTCCGGAACCACCTGGACACAGTACATCCTCTGGAGCATCTTCAGTGGCGGTGTCCCTCCTAAGAGCATCGCTGAATTCGAGCAGAAGATGCCCGTACTGGAGAGCGCCGGGGCCCAGGGCATCGCGAAAGTGTATCCTGACAGACCGTGGGCAATCAAGACGCACCTTCCGTTGTCCATGCTTCGGTACTCCGAACGGGCGAAGTATGTCTTCATCGCGAGGAACCCCTACGACTGTTGCGTCTCGTATTACCATCACACCAAAGCTTTTCCAGCATATCTTTACGAACACGGCTGCTTCGACCAGTTCTTTGACATGTTTGTGGAGGGACAAGGGGAGTATGGCGATTACTTCGACCATCTGCTTCCCTGGTACGAGCATCGAGAAGACCCAAACGTCCTGTTCTTGACGTATGAAGGTTTCAAGACAGACACCGAAGGCTGGGTGCTCAAGATGGCCGACTTCGTGGGAGAAGAGTATGGGGAGCGGCTGAGACGTGACCCGCAAGCGCTAAGACTGGTTATAAGCCTGTCAAGCGTCGAAAGCATGAAGAAGATTTTTAACAGGTCACTTAGTACCAAACACGGCAATGCGTCGAAGGCTTTGAGCAGTGCCAAGGTAACGTCAGAAACCTATGAGGAGCTCATTAGGGTCGCGCTTACGAGGCCGATGACGGGCGATTTTGTACGAAAGGGGGTAGTCGGAGACTGGAGGAATCACTTTTCGACGGAGCAACTGGAGAGGATGAAGAAATGGATAATACGGAAGACATCGGAAAGCGACGTCATGCAGCTTTGGAATGACTGTGATATTCCGCAACTCTAATTTCTACAAGCTGACAAAAAAAAAGAAAAAAAAAAACAAGAGCGAGTTTCTAAAGAAATTGTTATAATGCTGACGAGCTGATGCAAGTCTTCACGTGTGTCATGGACGCTGGCTCAACCTATCAAATATGCACCGTCATCGTCAAGTGTGTGTACGGAAACATTGGTAGTTCATTGGAAACGCACGATGAGCATGCCCAGTTCTTAGCAAAGACATAAAAGCATGCCAGGGGCGCTGAGTGCCGTTTCAGATGCAGCAAACCTGAACAAAAATTAGTTTAGCTCTTGCTCTGCAGAACTTGAGCAATAAAACTTATTTTTTTAACTATAGCTAGCGGCAAAACGACCCTTTCCGGAAGCATTAGTCGTTTTTATCTCTGCTGCGACGGCGCTTCGCCACCGTAGACGCCCGAGATGTGAAGAGCGAGTTCGTCTGCTTTTTTTCGCAAGGTCACATCGATTGACGCACTTTGACCGCCCCTTATCATTGCCAGCTGGCATGCGGCGGAAGGCCCAGTCGTCTGCCATTCTTCGTGGACGCCGGAGCGTGAAGGAACGGGCCAAAGAAACGGTAAGCACGCGATATAATCCTTGAACTGTATTGTTGTAAGGTTGTTAATTTGGGGTGGCTGGTATATACTATCTGACAGTGTTAGAAGCAAGACGTTACAAGTAATGGCGTTACTAATAGCGCGTTAACAAACGTACTAACGTAACTCGCTAGAATCCTAAAACATTGACTTAAAACGAAAGAAACACACAAGAGGACGAAACAGACGACACCGACGTCCTCTTGTGTGTTTCTTTCGTTTTAAGTCAATGTAAATCACCAACACGCTCAAGTCTTTAAAGCATCCTAAAACATTAACGAATCAAGTAATTCCGTTATTATTTTGCGGCATGTTCCATTTGTCACTGGTTACTTTTAAATAAAATTAGTTACACTGGCGGTCTCTAAAGGACAGTGCGCCTCCGGGACCCACGCTGTATTCTACAAAATCGGTAAACAAAAGATATGAAATCATTGTGTAACGGTTCAGTTGTTTTCAGGCTTCTATCCACTTCTTATTTCTCGCATATAATAATATTGAAGTCGAATCTAACGTAATACAAACGCAGAAGTAAAGTTTGTTACTTTCAGGAAGTAGTCCGGTAACCGTAATGTGTTAAATTTGCGTGACGGTAACGAATCTCACTAACGTGTTAGGCTTAATGAACCATCCGGTAACGCTATTTCGTTACTTATTTGCGGTAATGGGAACAAGGATATTTAACGAAAGAAAGGTAACGTCATGAGTACGTATGACAAGTATCAAATAATAAAGTATATTCTAATTGTCGCGCCTCGTCTTTACAGTGTTCTTTTCGTTTTTACAAAGTATTCCCAAAAGTTATTTTTTTATAGTGGGCTTTGTTGTGCTTTCGTTTAATACCTACTGTTTGATGTTCGTCAAAGCCCGTAAAAAATCGGGCTCTGGATCACAGTCTCCAACGAAGTATCTAGCAAAACAATAAGCGACGAGCTAGCTTAGCTTTCGTGTATTTTTCGCATAAAGACTCCATTGGGCGAGTTCCGATTCGCCAAACGCCACGCGAGGCGTTTGGGGGGGCGTTCGCCCCCACCGCCCCCCCCCCCCCCCCCCCCCATTGGATCCGCCACTGGATCATTTGGACATTGAGACGATGGAACAGGATGATCTACCCAGTACATGTTATTCCTCTGTTTACCTACATACAAACTCTGGTACGTTCGGGGATCCCAAAAACGTGCCCCAGCATTCTATCCGTATAAGTTGTACTCACTGCCGGCCATAGCTGTGTGTGCAGCTGCTGACCCCGTGCTGACGGCAAGCTTCCACAGTTCTTTTGCAACGTGCAGTCCGCACCATCAAGATTGCCGGTCTTAGCAGTCTGTTAATGTAAGCTGGTTTTGGCCGTGCGTTCTCTACGTGGCTTCCAGTGAATACCCCCTATTGGTAGACAGCGCCGTTAGTTTAAAGAAAGTCACGTAAGTATTCGAAAATGTATGCACTGTATTTGGTCGTGACGAGATGTTGTGGATTGAGATTGGCAAATCAAAACCGAAACGATAGCTAAAAACTTACCCAAGACTCCTTGCGCGGCACTATACGCCGCTAGGATCGCTTCAAGTTTGCAAGAGGTCTATCCAATGAGGTTCGGTCGCAATATTTATGTAAACGAAACCATTGGGTTAACGGAACAAAAAAAAATTATATCGAGTTCTAGATATATAGAGGGGATATGACCGTGTGATCTCGGCAATAGACCCTTTTCAAAGGTGCACGCCATCAAGTAGCTGCTGCTTCAATTATCCGTGTCCGTTATTGTTTGGGCACGTATCGATCGTGATTGGACACAAGTGCTGCGTCAGCATTCGGCGAGGACTGGTGTCCAATCAGGCGCTTCGTGCCTAAGAAATGTCGACCGACAACGTTGATTGATTGACTTTCGAAAAACGGGCCTATTTATTGGAAATATAGCTTCACGAATAAAAATCTGGATAAAGTGTTAGGGGAGTGGTCATTTTCGTGTTGTTATCAGCAGTTTAATAAGCTACACCTAGGCTGTTCTTTCTTTTTTTTTTTCTGGTTTCAGCAGGCTGTAGTCGGGATCCAAGAAAGCGAGGATGCAATCGACCGGAAAGTCCACTCCGGTCTATAGAGAGATCGAAGGACTCTACCTCAGCTACTACTTCAGCGACGAGAGCGTCCGCTCAGCCCTCGCCTACAAGCCAAGGCCAGATGACGTGTTTATTGTGAGCTACCCGAAATGCGGTACCACCTGGATGCAGTACCTCCTCTGCAACATCTTTAGCGGTGGCGTTCCTCCGAGGGACACGGTGGAATTCGAGGCCAAGTCACCCTTCTTGGAATTCACCGGAGCTCAAGGCGCCGAAGAGATGCCGAGGCCGGGCGCCATCAAGACGCACCTCCCTTTCGACAAGCAACCTTACTCGAAAGAGGCCAAGTACTTCTACGTCACCAGGAACCCGTACGACTGCTGGGTCTCCTACTACTACCATATGAAGAACTTTCCCGCCTACTTCTTCGAGGACGGTACCTTCGACCAGTTTTTCGATTTGTTCGTGGAAGGAAAAGGGGAGTTCGGCGACTACTTTGACCATCTGTTGTCCTGGTACGAACATCGCAACGACCCCAACGTCTTCTTCTTGACCTACGAAGACCTCAAAAAGGACACGGCCTCCTGGGTGCTGAAGATGGCTGACTTCCTGGGTAAGGAGTACGGCGAGAGGTTGCTAAGTGACCCAGCGCTGCTTAAGCACATCGTGGAGATGTCCAGCGTGTCGAATATGAAGAAGGCATTTAACGACGCGTGGAAGTCAACGACAATTCATGTCCCGCCGGCCGTGGAAGCTGACGGATCGCGGCAAGTCACCAAGGAGTCGTTGGAAGCGGCAGTGAAGAAACCGATGACCGGAGATTTCGTTCGTAAGGGCGTAGTTGGAGACTGGAGGAACCATTTTTCGCCAGAACAGATCGAAAGAATGAAGGAACGCATTGCGACCAAAACGGCCGGCAGTGATGTGATGGAGTTATGGAAAGAGTACGACCTTCCATGACTGAACTAAGAGGAGTGAGCTTGCGCGTAAAGCTTCTGCGTTGGCTGCGTTCTGTGAAGCATCTCTATGTATATATATTATAGTGCCGCTAGGATTAACTTGGAATACCTATCGTTTTTGGCGCAAGATATTGAACAAAAAGGAAAAGAATGGTTTCCACACTTTTTTTGCTTTTATGTCCATTTGATAAATTCCGATCGCCCTTATTATAATTGACTAACTTGATTAAGGCCTGATTGGTGTATATTTGCACATCGCGGTGCGGAGAAATATATGCGTGTATAAGGGTTTCTTGTTTCGCGACTGTTGTTAATAAAAATCACACACACACACACACACATACGTATGCTTTCCTAAATCTATGCTTTCTTTGAATTGAATTGAATTGGTTTTGAATTGGTTTTATTCAGACACAAGGTCTCGGATGACAAGTCAAAAGGCAGATGGGTTCTGCCTGACTTGGCCCTATCACCAGTTTACATTGCTCAGCGTATAGTACGACACGTTGTAATATAAACACAGAAACCACGGGGAAACAGAACGGCCCACAAATAAAGATCAAAACAACATAACTTATACAGTAGTCATGTCATAACAATTTTCGGGGACATAGGATGCACTAGAATAAATGAAGCTCAACCATTGGATACAAACACTTTTTAAAAAACATTCATTCAATGGGACATGATAGATCTTAAACCCAGTGCATGATTTTGATGAACACTGATGGTATAGGGACGTTTTAAACAAGCGCCTGATTGAGCTGTCATTGCCTACCCTTTCTTACCTAGATGCCGAGCAACTGAAGCTGGCATTGACGGGCCTCCACAAAGGCCTATGCTGGAGAGGAGGACACAGACCTAAGTGGGAGTAATCTGTCCTGCTGTGGCGATAATGAAGTGAGGCGAACGGAATAAGAGGAAACAAAAACTTGAGTTCGGTTATGGCGACGTGCCTGAAAGCGTCTATACAAGGTGGTCGAAATAATTCCGGACTTTTTCCAAATATCGTCTCAACAATACAGTAAAGCTAACCGGTCGTATTGCGCTTCTGCGGCCTCGTGATTCGACAGCGGATCATCGCATGATAAACGATTCGCGACTGGCTCAAAAAGGAGCGGGAAATACGCCCGGAGAGCAGCAATACTGGAATCGCTTCGTGCCAGAAAGTCGCCAAAGCAAATCATTACGCAGCATTGCCAAGACGTTCAGATAACCTGTCAGCCAGGAAGACGTTACGGCAGACCGTGCAAAGCCCAAAAAACGGTAGATGTTCATTTTATCATTGCCTCTGTGCACTCTCTTGAATATGGTGAATTTTCCCGACTTATCTCGACGACCCTGTTTGGGAGGGTTACCCGAAGTGCGGGTGACATGGTCGTCTAAGTACGCCCCAACAACAGTCGGCTTCCCAACCCCCCTCCCCAAAACGCATACTACTACGGCTCACGAGCCGCATATCGCTCTTCACGGGTCCAAGTGCGGCTCGCGGCTTCCTGGTAAGCATGCCCACCTTCTCCTGCTGTGTCCTCAAAACAAAAATAGTTCTAGAATAAAAAAAAAAGTACACGGTCTTGGCAGCCTTGTACTACACTACGTAGTACACACAGCTGGACTTTGACTTCTTTTTCACACGTAGATGTGTCCAGTGACCCTGTTTCCGTGATTGTTCTAGAAATAATTTCGAAGCGGGCGTCAGGGGCAGTGGCTGGCTAGCAAACCATGCATTCATTTTTTTTTTTTTTAGCGGTTGAAGAAATGTTTTGCTGGCTGTCTTTATTTGCTGCAGTGGACAATTATACTTTTCCCCTTTGGAAGGGAGCGTTCCCTCCATATCGTTTCTTATTTAAAGTCGCCCCCCCCCCCCCTCCCCTTTTTTTCACGTCTTTTTCCTGCGACTTTATGAGCTTTTGTAGTTTTGTCTGCGGCTCTAACCCCGGGCCACTCTGGCCACCCCTAATATATAGTTAGCGCCAGATCACGTGGCCCCTTGTTCTAAATGCGAGTTGAAAAAGAGAAAGTTGTTTCTTTCTTTATTTTTTCTGCGTCTCCCATCACATGGAGGGAAAGCTAATGGATGTTTTTGCAAGTCACCAACGTCAGGGATTACTTCTTAGCGGTATTCCATGACCCATTTCACATATATGCACATCATTGTGGCATCAAAAGATTTCTTCGTGGTTGCTGAACTGCCTCAGAAGGTTGTCCCCGAAAATAGATGGGACTAAATATAACTTGCTAATCCGACGTTGCATATATAACTCGTGTGCACTACTCTTCGATCCCCTTTAGACAGTTCCGCATCATCGGGTTCTTAACTTATCGAGCTAGAATTTACTACGGAGGTGTCCGAAGGTGGTGGAAGCTTTGACTAAGATTGTGAGAACGTTAGCTCACCTTAGTACATAATGAAAGATCAAAAACTATGTTCTTCCTATTCTTTGCTTATTTTGAGTCACTGTGGCGCTTGTTTGGGCCAGATGGAATCAAAAATAGGTAAGCCACTTGTTTTACTTTCCATTTCAACGATTTTTCAGTCGTAGTAAACGCCAGAATAGCCCAGAACTTTTTTTTGATGATTTTCGGGAAAAAAAAGGTTAGTGATATTTCTTTCACATACAAACCAGTTTTTTTTTTTTTTTTGACTCTGGAGGTTTTATCTATTCATATTTTCAATTAATCAATGCACCATCTTGGGGCGCCTCTTGAATAAATCCCAGCGCGATCCATTGAGGAACCGATTTTCGACGACCGTCCGAAGTGAGATCGAAGCGTTTTAGTGTGCACGCGGTATTAATAGAGAGTTTTAGTAGACCGTTTTCATCTTCCGCTCCGCTCTGAGGGTGCCAAACTGCGCATGCGCGGCCCGCTTCGCCGGAATGGAAAGCGGAGGTCCAAAAACGCGTTTTAGTAGAGCGTTTTTCTTCAGCGTAAGAGCGTTTTGAGCGGGTTTGAAAAATTTGCTTGCGTAGCCCCACAAGTGGACGTTTATAGTACTAGTAAGACAAAAAAAAACCTAAGCGTTAACACCAAGAGAGTAAAAGGGAGCGTGATTGTAGAGGTAGTAAAAACGATGGCGACAATAGTGAACACAAAAGAGGAGGCACAGACCTGAAGAAATATTAAGCTATAAAATATAAATATAATCGTTCCACCTTGTGTGCGAGTGAAGCCGAAGGTGTAAGCATGAGCATGTTACTCTCAACGGTACTTGCACTGCACGAGCGCGCGTGCTTATCAAGGACGCTGAAAGGCCGGCACTCGCTCTTGTAGCTTCTGCTCCACTCGAATTAAAACTGAAACAAATTTACTTATTCGAAGTAGAAAAATAAGAGAAAAGGACGAAGTTTGCGCATTGCGAGTACATCCTTTTGCGTAGTACGAGCACAGTGTTGCTCAAGGCTAGCAAGGCATCTGCACGATGAATCCCCGCTGTTCTCAAGGAAGGAGACTTCTACTAACGAGATTAAGCTGGCGAGACATCGAATCTATGATTCGAATCCCTCGTGCCATCAAGCGCCGAAGCTTCCTTTCCGAACGCAATTTGCTGGATATTTCCAACGTAGAAAAGAAACCTTTTAGGAAGCTATCCTGCTTAAAAAAGGACATGGCTGTTCTGCATGCGGGCCTCCAAATACCAGAACCCGACAGATCGGCGCAGGGTGTTGCCAATCTGGCGAGACGCTTTGCATGGTTCTTCCTCGACTGGCCTATCCCAACCATCTGTTCGTACTTGGATGAGCGTTTGGACGGAACTTGTCGGTGTTCTTCAGTTCTGTGAACCTCATCGTAGGTCACATCAACGAGAGGTTCAGCCACCTGCTCGCTGACATGAACAAACATAGGTGGCTGACCCTGGCGAAACTAGAGCTGTGCTCACAGGTGAGACCCTGCATGGTTTGTGTAAATTTCGCGTTTCCATTGTTTCTAGCACAGCTGCTCTGTCTGGTGAAAAGTTACTTTTTTCTATACGCCAAAAGTGTACATGGGCAGTGTCAGGACAAGTCACCACGAGCGCGTTCGTAATCTGTGAGTATAGGCCCGTAGCTCTCAAGTTTTGAGCAGCGCTCCAGGCGAGCAAAATAGAATATTTGGCTCGCGTTTCGAACGCGCGTCATCACGCTTCCCCACTACACTTTTTTTCTACTCCGTTCCATTACAACCGCTAGCGTAGCAGAGCCTACGAGAGCGAGCTCCGAGCTTGCAGTGTCCCTTCCAAGCGCGCGCGCTCGTGCACTGCGAGCATCGTTCAGGGAAACATGTTTTTGCAAGCAGCTTCAGCTTCGCTATCACGTAAAGTGAAGCGTACGGGCTTGCGGAAGCTATGAAAGAACACAATAGACTAATAAAGCTGAATGGGACGCTGAGTCCACGAGTTCCATAATTCTTTTTGTTATTTTAGTTTTTCTCTTTTTAGACGTTTTGTTATCGCGCGTCTACAGATGCTGACAGATGCTTGCATTCGAACGTTGCACGTGCAAAATCGAACGTCATAGCACCGCCTGGATAGTGCTGACAGCATAACATGGTCGCGTTTTGCGGACGCGCTCGCGCCCCCTGCCCGAGAGCAACGGGTCTATTAGTAGGCCACTTTTATGAGCCCTCTTTGCTCTACTTTACGCTCTGCGAGAAGCATCGTCCCCACCGCGCATGCGTGGCCCGCTCTGAGTTGGAGCGTATTGTTATCGGAGTGAGCGTGCGCTCCGCTTCACAACTTGTAGAGCGGACTGCCCTCAGCGTCCTTAGCGTGATCGCTTGAATCTCAAGATGGCTGCACTTACTCAATACGCGTCGATGTTTTTGACCGTGACCTCAGCTTGAAAGAGGTCGAATCAAGAAGTAAAGCGTACGCCCCGCGCGTAAAAAGTAAACCATTCGATTTGAGTTCTATGTGACACAAAACAGCATAATCAAACGAAGTGAACGAGTATCACTTTGCACCAGCACGGCGTCGGTAAAGTCGTCGCGTTTTTTGGACGTCCTATGGCTATGCAGTCAGATGTACGAGTGTGCGTGCTTGAACGCCGATTATATCTGTGCATGCGCCCTCCTGTCGAAAATGCCACTGAAAGCTGACCACGAGCATAGCGCTCGCAAGCTGCACCAAAGAAACCATTCCCCCCTCTCAGCTTTATTTATTCACGCTCGCTCGCAACTTTTGAATTGTTTATCTTTCCTCAAGAAATGTTTGCATTAGATTTCCTTGGTAGATTTAGAAAATAATAGAAACTTGAATGCAGCCTTTTTAAAAGTGCAACCCATGGTGCCGCTAGTCTTCGAGGCCGCCTTATTTTGGCCAAGTGTCTAGGGAGAAAGAGAGCTACGTCATTGTTTGTC